ACATCAAATGCTTACTTTTCTCAGTTTTTCCATAGTAGTACTTGGGTAAGGAGGCAGAAATTTTACTTCTTCCTGATTTTTTATGTATGTATGTGAATATTTGCATTTATTGCCTCTCTAGCATCTTGATGGAATGGATTCTGCTGCAGAATTTGGGTTCTAGGAGAGACCCCTGTAGGCTACTTGCTCCAAGTTCTGTCTGCAGGAAAGTCAATGTCTGAATGGAGCCAAAGGATTCCTGAATATCTTTGGAGGGTAGAAGGGAAACTGGCTTGAGTGGGGTCCAGGTTCCAGATGGTTCACATTCACTTGAAGCAACTGTTTCACATATTAAATCTTTAAGTTATATTTCATTAAATAAAAATCCTTTGCTGTTAAGTGGAAAAGGTTGAAATAGTAGTCTGTACCACCTAGGAGGGACTTATGTTCTCTTCTGAAAGAATTCCAGAAGTGAAAACTTAAGCCCATTCTACTCACTTTCCTAGACTGTTTGGGTAGTGATAATTCGGGACTGAAAACACTGGGTGTAGGATTTATTTTTTTTAATTTAGCATTCCTAGAGCATCTACCCCACCAAGGCTGTTGTGCAACTCCATGACGGCACTCCCTGGAGTGGAGTGATGCAATGGCTTCACATGACCCTGTACATAATACTGCATTGAATGCCAGGAAGTAGGGGTGCCGGTGGTAAGACAGAGGAAGTAGATCAGGTCTCTCGCCCTTGGAGTGTATTATGATCTATTTAAAGAAAAAGTCCTTAGCTGTTAAGCTTTGAGGGGGCCAGTACATAACACTTAACTTCCCTGTCCATGATCAGAACCAATTGAGAGATAAAGGAATCAGGCCAATATAGCAGGGGTCCCCAATTCCCAGGCCACGGACTGCTACCAGTCCATGGCCTGTTAGGAACTGGGCCATATAGCAGGAGGTGAGTGGCAGCTGACCGAGCATTACCACCTGAGCTCCACCTCCTATCAGATCAGCGGTGGCATTAGATTATCATAGAAGCGCGAACCCTATTGTGAACTGTGTATGTGAGGTTGCCTGCTCCTTATGAGAATCTAATGCCTGATGATCTGAGGTGGAACAGTTTAATCTTGAAATCATCCTCCCACCCTGGTCCATGGAAAAATTGTATTCCATGAAACTGGTCCCTGGTGCCAAAAAGGTTGGGGACTCCTGCAATAGAGGATAAGATATCACTTTTGTGACTAATGAAGCTGATCCTGGGGAATGTAGTTTATACCTGTGGGCAAGTGAGTTTCTAAAAGTGAAACCTAGAATCAGACAGAGTTACCTGCAAGTCACAGGTAGTATTGGAGAACTGCAGGCTTTTCCTCTTACCAGCCATCCTTCCTGCCTTTTGCCTTTCCCCCTTTATAGGGTAGGGGAGCAAAGCAGAGAAGGGGCCAAGCTACACATATCCAGCTCTGTGTCCCAGATTACCAACCAACCCAGGAAAAAGGCCCAGAGTGTTACACTGCAAGATGTTCTTCCACAGAGAAACAGCAGATCAGGAAAAAGGAGGTCCTTTCCCTTAAAAAGTCCCTATATTTAGCTCAAGATGAACGCTAAGGCAATATGTCCTGATTGTATGAATTTTTGTTATAAGATATATATTTAGATACTGAAAAGGAGTGGTCAGAGTAGTATGTATTTAATTAGGGAACATGGCCAGGTGCAGTGGCTCACGCCTGTAATCCCAGCACTTTGGGAGGCTGAGGCAGGAGAATCACCTGAGGTCAGGAGTTCAAGACCAGCCTGGCCAACATGTGAAACCCCATCTCTACTAAAAATACAAAAATTAGCCAGGTGTGGTGGCACACACCTGTAGTCCCAGCTACCCAGGAGGCTGAGGCAGGAGAATCTCTTGAATCCAGGACGTGGAGGTTGCAGTGAGCCGAGATCGTGCAACTGTACTACGGCCTGGGTGACAGAGAGACACACTTTAAACAAATGGACCTGTTAAGTGGGGAGAGTTCATTCATGATAAGCTTGAACTGTGGACAAATGAAAAAGACCTCCCAACACAACTAATACAATGGTTTTCATGATCTTGGAAATGTGGCTTAGTGTCATCCACGCCTGTAGTCATAAATGAAACATAAAGAATGAGCAAGTTCCCAGGCATCAGGCCCAGCCAGTGCAGTGCAGTGATGGGCTACAGGGCTGTAGCTGGGAGGGGAGGGTTCTGGAGATTCTAGGAGTAGGCATCATGAGTGGGTTCCTGTCACCTGATTTATTACTAATTGGTCAAATTAGTAATACATTTGTCAAATTAGTAATAAATCAGATGACAGGAACCCACACACAATGTGCTCCAGCCTGGGCAACAGAGAGACATAGTTTAAACAAATTCACCTATTAAGTGGGGAGTAATTAGTGGTATTTTCTGGTTTATCATCTGAAAAAATGCTTAAATTTTTTTTTAGAGCAAAAAATTTTTTTTTGATTTGTGTTTTTGCCTTAACGGAGAGGGTACAATTGAGAGCTGTGAGGATATAAATGTAATTGCTGTGACACTTTGAGTTTTCTGTTGCTTAATTGAAAATGGTTTAAAATCCTGCAGATTCTGAGAAAAAACTGGGAGGAACAGTAATACATGCTTCCAAAAACAGTGAACAATTCAGAGGTCATATTCTTAACTTTGAAATACTATTTGTGATTTTCATATGGTAGAGTTTTCTTTCAAAACACTTCTTAAGGTGACATTATAATCTGTTGGTATTTGCAGAACACCTAGAAACTGGCAGCTGAAAATTACACAAAGAGAATGGAAAGAAGGTTAAAATTAACTATAGCGGAATACACAGATAATCAAGATTTAAGGAGAACACATTTCCATTGGATCTACTTGCTACCTGTTTGTGCATTTCAGGGTTATTACTACTGACATGTGAATAGGTGGTATAGTTAAATCTCTGAAGTAGTTGTTGTCAAGCTAGATTGGCTAACTAAGCCTAATGTTAATCAGAGATGTCTGTCTGTCCCTGGTGTACAGTACAGAGTTTGATGTGATTGTGGACAGAGAAAGCCAGGTGACCTCTTGAGGATCTATTTTCATCTCCAAGATTCAGTGAGTTGTCTGCTCTCGATCTCACAAAATAACATATGTAAAATGCTGAGCACAGTGCTGGCTACATAGGAAACTATTACTTAGCATGGGGAAATAGCTACTTTATTTTGATTTGCAAATGGTTATAAAATAGTATGCTAAGTATTATGCCAGTTATGCAAAATTCAACAAATAGTTATTCAGTTCTTCTAGATGCTATTGTAGGAACCGGAATATAAGAACTAGGAAGAAAAGAACATAGGATTGCTTTGTGTCTCATTTAATTTTGTATCATAGAATAAATTGGTGCTTCTTGCTGTGATGTCTTCTATGGCTAGAAAATATTTATTTATTTTCCTTAATTATTTTTGAGAAGCCAGTGAGTGACTATGCAGATATTTGACTGTTGATACCTGAGTGGGTACCCTCTCCAAGAAGCCAGTCAGAATAGCCCTGCCTGCCTCCTTCTGTGAATGAAGACAGAGCTTAGGAAGAACTCATTTATCCTCCACTGTACCTCAGGAACAAGGATTGACATTGAAACACATTCATTGAGCTTCCTCTGGCACTAATGTGATCGAAGCCCAAACCTGCTTGGAATCCTTCTTTTCTGGAGAGCTTTGTACGGGGGAATCATTGTGGTGTTCCTTTCCTTCTTCAATGGCTTGTCATTTACCATTGCATTGGATCTCTTAGATTTTGATTTCAAGGAGAGGGATGTAGAAATACAGTTTCTGGGCTGGACGCAGTGGCTCATGCCTGTAATCCCAGCACTGTGGGAGGCCAAGGTGGGCGGATCACTGGAGGTTGAGAGTTCGAGACCACCCTGGCCGCCTCTACTAAAAATACAAAAATTACCCGGGCGTGGTGGTGGGTGCCTGTAATCCCAGCTACCTCGGGAGGCTGAGGCGGGAGAATCACTTGAATCCGGGAGGCAGAGGTTACAGTGAGCCGAGATTGCACCATTGTACTCCAGCCTGAGAGTCTTAAAAAAAAAAGGAAATATAGTTTCTGGCCCATGTGTGATTGGTCATATGAGTCAAATTGGTGGATTCCTAAACTGGATTTTGACCCTGGGATCCTTTAGCAATGGATGAAGTTTGAAATTTGAGTTGGCATGGTCTGCTGGCCATGGTTGGCAGGGCCTATCTCTGTCTCTTATACACATCTAGATGTGTATAAGAGACAGCTGTAGTACGCTATGATCACGCCACTGCACTCCAGCCTGGGTGACAGAGAGACACACTTTAAACAAATGGACCTGTTAAGTGGGGAGAGTTCATTCATGATAAGCTTGAACTGTGGACAAATGAAAAAG